TCGCAGTTTTGTACACCGCAACAATGACAGTCGGGATGCGTCGGAAGTGCAGTGGGTGCTTTTCGGTCGACAGCTGCGTGGGTTCCGTCACCCTAGGCGACAGCGACTGCGTCCTTTTTGTTGCCTTGGGGCGGTTACGTTGTGGCAACGTGTCATCCTGGTCCAGGTTGTCAGGAAGGCAGTTTCCAACTGACACTAAGCTCTGCCTACGTAGCAACTTATTCAGGCTGTTTCGGTAGGATTGCTCCGCCTCAAGAAATGCCACTATACCCAGACTGGTCCTGGGGACAGCCATATCGCCGAACAGCTGATTGGCACGGGACAACTTCTCCTCCCTCCTTAACACCACTTGCGGGGAGGCAGATGTAGAGGGCATGGGTAGAACTTCCCCAGGTAATGTTTCGCAATCAGGGTTGGGTATCTGACTGTCCCGCATTGACCAATGGCTTCGGTGCATAAGCTGGGTTATGTCGGCGCTTAACATGCCAGCCACCGCACATGGTTGCGCATGGCATATCTTACTGATTTATGAAGGAGCACTCGCAGCTGAGTTCATTACCCATCACAACCTAGTGCCTGCGGTCGCCCTTGCCTAATGCTCCATACCCAGGCCGTTAGGTCGTATTGATTTGATCGTTTCCGAAGAAATGTGCCGCATAAATATAACAGCAGCATAAGAAGACAGACAGGAAACCAACTCCTTCACCTGCCCAGTTCCCGGAAAGGTGTGTGTTTCGACATCCGCAATTTAGCTAACGACATGGTCCAACGCAATTCCGTATCGCGTGCTCTCCGTGCAACAGTCTCAAAAAGTTTCAAAAGCTATGTTCTTTCGCTTAAGCCCCACTTCAGATGTTTATTCTCGTTCTCCAGTCTGTTTGTGGTGAACGCGCCCAACGTACGCACTTCGCGCAATCTAGGGTACGCCAAACTTCCATCTAAGGGCAACCACGTCCGACAGGTACGTGAACGCTTCATTGCTTCTGACCTTTATAGCTCTAAGCAGCATCTTAAACTGTAATACGGGTTTTGTGTACACTAACCTGTGCATCCACTGCTTCAGCAGACTCTGTCCGCCTTTTTCACTTTTGACAGAAACTGGCGTCTGCGTGAAACGTCCTTCATGAAATGGAACCGGCATAATACTAGCATGGTCCGTGGATATGCAGACTTAAAGGCCTTCATTTGCCCCAGTCACCTATCCATGACTATAGTCTTCGCTGATTGAGTGGCGGACAACATTTCTGACATCCCCCGAGCAACCTCCGGGTAACTGCCTGCCGTCTCGTTTGGCATCAAAGCGTAAAACACGCTGCGACCCACGCCGAAACCGCCAATTACCATGCAGTGCCAAAGAACGTAACCACCACAGTTCACCTGATGCGTGACATCCGCAAGAAGCAAGTCCCCGTTTTCGCCACTACGGAAGTCATCGATGCTGGAACGAAAAATAGGAATCGCACCTGCAAACCATCCCTATTTACACGCACAGCGCCATTTTTACTCAACAATTCCGCAACCGCCTTTACATCGTTCCCCTTAGATATCCCACCTAATCGATGGCGGATAGAAAAGAGGTCCTGTCGATTCAGTCGTTTGTTATACGTTTCTAACACGTAGCCTCGCAGTTCTGCGGTATTACGGAAGGACTGCATCAACTCAAACACTTGCCGCTCAGCCTCAGGAGTCATGCGCCGGTTAATAACGTATAAACATGGATTCCCCAAGTGAAAATTATGATTATGCACCAAATAATGCGAGCTTATCTCATAGTAAATGCCCTTCGCATTGCTGGATATGCTCGCTTTACGACCGAGGCTGACATAACTAATGCAACATGAAGTACACATAACACGTTTGCACTTACCGACTGCCACCTTCTCCTTTCCTGATGCAATGGACACAACGAAGTTTTACCCATTTGCGCCACATCCCGTCCGGTAACCCTTGACCAGGTCTTTTCTCATGCGACACAGCGGTCAGTACGTCATATTTGTAAAAACTTGTCGCCGTCTGAACCTGAAACCGCCTCAAATCCTCCTCCAATTCACTAAATGCCTTATAATATCGGCGAATAGTAGCGCGAAACGCAACAGTATCGTCCACAACCATTGCAGCGAAACCGAAACAGCACCTGCGCACTAAAACAAACACTCATCCAAACATAGTAAAATAATGTACCACTATTTTCAGTTGCCCTAATTTAATATACATTTAATAAACCCTTCTCAAGGCTTAACAACGTATTTCATTACATTCCTCCTTAGCAGCCAGTACAGCAAACAGCATCGTCTAAGTAGCTTAGGATTATTTTCCTTGGAACGGCGTAGGTTGAGAGGGGATCCGATAGAGACGTTTAAGATCATTAAGGGACTTGGTGGTATTAGTTCCACCCATCTGTTTGAGTTGGCTAAGTCAGACCATCTGCGCGGGCATCGCCTGAAGCTCAAACATCACAGAGCCCGTTTGGACATCATGGCAGTTTTTTACGAACCGAGTAGTTAACTTCTGGAATAAACTTCCTTCTGATTTCGTGGAGTCTGAGACCGTAGAAGCCTTCAAAAGAGGCTTAGACAATTGTTGGTCCAGCCATTTCCCAGAGATATTGTAGTTGTACTGGAATATGTAGTGCATTTTGATGCTGGCAAATGAAAGTGCAGAGATCGCTCTTGTTCTTGCTTCATTCCATTGCAGAAGCAAGAAGAGACAATCCAGCGTGAAAGTGTCGGGGGCAGCTTCACTTACCGGCACAAGCACTAGACGCTCGTTAGGCGGAAGCCTCTATCGTCCATTTGACCTGACCGCCCCCAAATTACGATCAGCTGTTTTCGATTAATCCGACGTTCTCCTTGTTGTTTCATGTTTACAAATGATCTGGCTCCACTTCTTTAGGATCTCTGCTATTTCTTCGCAGATGACTTAAAGCTAGTCAGTAGGGGAAACCGAGCGTCTTTCCTTTGAAGCTAGGCGTCTCCCGTCGGCTTGGAAGTGGGCATGGTAAAACCCATATACAAAGGAGGGAACAGGCAAGATCCAGCCAACTATCGTCCTACCTGCTTAACGTCGATATTGTATAAAGTTATGCAGCGGACCTTGAAGCAGGCTCTTCATCTCTTCCTCGAGGAACTGAATCTCTTCTCTTGTGCACAGCATGGTTTTCGAAGGGCATGCTCATGTACCTCGAACTTACTAGTTGCTAAGCAGAAATGGGCGAAGCGCTAGATTCCGGCAAACGCTTGAACGTTGTGTTTGTGGATTTCAGCAAAGCTTTCGGCAGGGTCCCACACGAACGACTTTTGCTTAAACTCCGCGAATAGCGTCGTCCTGTACTGCAGAGCTCTCGGTTGACGAGTATTTTTTCGTGCTACCACTGGTTTACGTCCTTTATCATTTCCCAATGGCTTCCAGATGTGTCTCCTGTAGTAAGAGTGTCACTCACCTATCGAAGGCCGTACAGTGCTCTTCGTGTGATGGTTGGATTCGTGCTGCTTGCTGTGGTATCTGTCCGGGCCTATATGGATATCTACAGCGGACACCGTCTCAAGCTATCGCTTTCTTTTGTGACTCATGCAGAGTAAAAACCAGTGACAGACGTGTACTTGCCGGTTTATCAGCAATTAGCCCAGGTTCCTCTCTTCCTCACACTGCGTTGATTGCTTCCCCGGACTCAGTTTTACCTGCAGGTCCTCCTTCCCCTGTTCTGGATTCGTAACTCCCATCGATAAGCAAAGCCGTGCCACGTCTCCCTCAGTAAATGTTACTGCTCAGCATGCCGAGCCTGTGGTCAAGACCTGTGCATCTGTGGTGAAAGGACGCGCGGCGCCGTCAGGCAGTCGCAACTCAGATATGCGAGAAGCGAAGCCAAAAACAAAAATCTAGTATCAAAGACAAGCCCTCTTCGCAATTGGAGATTAAAAGGTTCTTGATAGACTTACTCAGTTGGAGCATTTGGTTAAGGACACATCGATTTCTCCTAAGCAGCAGACCGCTAGGGATTCCCATCGCCCCTCTCGTGACCGCTGCCGTATAGTGGTAAATGCGCCGGAGTCTTCTGAATTTACGCCAGCGGAAAGGATCCTAGATAATGAGGCGTTTTTAATAGGGATGATTTCACTGTTGTTTGATGAAGGTGAACGGGGGATAAATATTGTTTCAGCCTTTCGCATTGGCAGGAAGCAGGAGAACTCTACAAAGTCTCGTCCTCTCAAGATAAATAAATAAATAAATAAATATTTTATTCTCGACAAAGCGAGACACGCCTTTTTGGGCATGATCAGCATATTGCATTATTGTACATGATAGCGGAATAAGCAGCACCAACAGTGGGAGTAGTAAAGTTGGAGACAGTAGTGTGGGCCCATAGAGCCCAAAGGTTGTATGTAGTCCATGAACACAGATTGCGAGAGGTAAAAATAGTGATCAGATCACTTATATGGTATGTTGATGAGGAACTAGTCCGATGAGGTCCCGTAAGCAATGTAGGTCAGTGAGTGAAGTATGAGGAAACGGGTGGAAAATACTTAAGAATAGTGGTATGTCACTAGTCAGATATGTAGGCGTGTTCGTGCGAGAGCCAATATATGCACAGAACTTGTAAATGTGGTGTCGATCAACTTGCCAATGTGTTAGGGGCGGTGACTTTATTGAGTGGCGAGTCACATCCGCCACGTCGCAGTGTTGTTAAACAGACATTTGTGGCTTTTTGTAGGGAAAACGCTTGCCAGACGAAGACCCACCACGTCCTGGAACACTGCCGGCTGTTGATATACATTGGCAAGATGGTATCTGACCGATTATCCTCGCGGATATTCGCAGTCACGCAACGCCAATTTGTTTCCTATGGCTGTGTAGTCGCCTTCGGAGTCCATTACAAGTGGTTGGGGCTGTCGAAATCGGACGACTCAGGTGACTTGTATTGAATTGATCAGTTTCCTAGGTTCTTTAGTGTGCCATGATTATGAAGTGCGGGTTTTTCTTTGTTCTTTATTGAATCCGTGTCCATGGGAGCGTCGCAGGTACGTCTTCAGCGGTGTTCGGTGCAGGTAATGTTATCCTGTAGAACAAGGGTGAGAAGAAAAACGGACCGAGCAAACTGCCAACAAAATTGAACAGGACTATGTTATTGTATAAATATAAAATTTATGGTAAAGTTGTGCTGGCTGAAATCAATGGAATGACCGATGAGCTGAGGCTAATGGTACCTATACCGCCAATGAATAGTTGCGATATGAGCGAAGAGAGACGCCAAATAAGAGAGGAAGACGTTAATGTGAGCTGAGATGCACGATAGTAGAGCCGAGAGGCAAAAGTCAATCAGAGACCAGAAATTCGGATTTCGGTGAGCGTTGCTAAGCATAGAGATAATGATTCAGACAAAGAAGAGTATCATAAGGTTGTAACTTATACCAATGAGAACTTGAGTCGATGGCAGCCGGTGCTCAAAATAAGAGAGGCCTTGGCTTGAGACCTATGGACATTTGGAGCCTCAGAGGACTGACTTGGCCAAAATGTTTTGGAATGAGACGCACAGAAGTAATGGTAACCAAAAGAGAACTGGGATGTTGCGCTGATACTAGTGATAACTATACCGCCATTGGACTGTTGCGATATAGACCAGAAGAGAGGCAAAACACGAGAGGGGACGTAATTGTGCGCTGAGAAGCATGAGAATGGAGCCGAGAGGCAAACCTCAACAAGGGACCTGAGATTGCAATTTCCGTAGAACGACCAAGCATGCAGATAATGTGTCAAACGGATGCCAGCACATAAGGCAGTTATTTATACCAATGAGAAAATTAATCGGTGGCAGCCGATCCTCAAAAGAAGAGAGGCCTTGGTTTGGTGCCTATGGGCATTTGGGGACTGAGAGGCTGGAGTAGTAGAAGAGGTTTAAAACTGAGTACCACAGTAGCAAAGGGAATCAAAAGAAGCTTAGGATGTTGAGCTGACGCTAGTGATAACTACAGCGCCATTGAACCGATGCGATATGGACCAAAAGAAAGGCCAAACAAGAGAGGGGAACGTAATTGTGAGCTGAGATTCATGATGGTGGAGCCGAGAGGCAAAAGTCAATCAGAGACCTGAAATTGCAATTTTGCAGGCGACCAAGAATGCAGGTAATGAGCCAGTATCATGAGGCTGTTTCTTATGCCAATGAGACTGTTATCGATGCTCAAAGGAAGAGAAGCCATTGTTTAAGACCTATAGGCATTTAGAGCCGGAGGCCGGTGCGGTCCAGGAGGTTTAAGAGTGCGTGGCGCAGTAGGAAAGTGGATCAAATGTGGCCTAGTATGTTGTGCTGACGCTATGGGAACCTAAACCACCATTGAACCGATGCGATATGGACCAGAAAAGAGGCCAAACAAGAGAGGGGACATAATTGTGATCTGAGAAGCATGAGAGTGGAGCCGAGAGGCAAAATTCAACCAGGGACCTGAAATTTCAATTTCGGCAGAAGGACAAAGCATGCAGGTAATGTACCAGACTGAGGCGAGTACAAGAGGCAGTTACTTATACAAATGAGAACGTTTGCCGACGGCAGCCAATGCTCGAATGAGAGAGGCCTTGATTTGAGACCGATGGGTATTAGGAGCCTGAGAGGCCGGACAAGTCCAGTAGGTTTAATAATGAGTGTCACAGTAGCGAAGAGAATCAAGCGAGGGCTAGTAAGTGGCGCTGGCGTTAGAGGTACCTATACCGCCATTGAACGGATGCGATATGGACCAAAAGAGAGGGAGACGATACTTGTGAGCTGAGAAGAATGATAGTGGAACCAAGAGGCAAAAGTCAATCAGAGACCTGAAATTGCAATTTGCAGGGGTCCAAGCGTATTATAATGTATCAGACGGAGTAGAGTACATGAGGCTGTTTTTTATGCCAATTAGAACTTGAATCAATGTTGAAAGGAAGAGAAGCCTTGGATTGAGACCCATAGGCATTTGGAGCCTGAGAGGCCAACTAGTCAAAAGGTTTAGGAGTGAGAGCCACAGCAACAAGAACATATAGCGACGTCTGGGATTAGGCATACAGAAAATGAATCAGACGGAGACGAAAATCATGCGGCCGTTACCTATACCATTGAGAACCTTAATCGATGGCAGCCGATCCTCAGAGGAAAAGAGGCCTTGGCTTGAGACCTATGGGCATTTGGAGCTTGAGAGGCCTGAGTAGGCCAATGGGTTGAACGATGAGTGCCATAGTTGCAAAGAGAATCACACGGGTGCTAGTAAGTTGCGTTGATGTTAGAGGCACCTATACCGCCATTGAACCAATGCGATATGGACCAAAAGAGAGGCCGAACAAGATAGGGGAACGTAATTGTAAGCTAAGATGCATGATAGTGGAGCCGAGAGGCAAAAGTCAATCAGAGACCTGACATTGCAATTTGCAGGGGTCCAAGCATATTATGATGTATCAGACGGATGCGAGTACATGAGGCTGCTTTTATGCCAATTAGAACTTGAATCGATGTTGAAAGGAAGAGAAGCCTTGGATTGAGACCCATAGGCATTTGCAGCCTGAGAGGCCGGACTAGTCCAAAAGGTTAATGAGTGAGAGCCACAGTAGCAAGAACATATAGCGACGTCTGGGGTTAGGCATATAGATAATGAATCAGACGGAGACGAAAATCATGAGGCCGTTACTTATACCGTTAACAACCTTAATCGATGGCAGCCGATCCTCAGAGGAAAAGAGGCCTCGGCTTGAGACCTATAGGCATTTGGAGCCTTAGAGGCCGGAGTAGTCCAATGGGTTTAACGATGAGTGCCATAGTTGCAAAGAGAATCACACGGGAGCTAGTAATTTGCGTTGGCGTTAGAGGCACCTATACCACCATTGAACCGATGCGATATGGACCAAAAGAGAGGCCAAACAAGATAGGGGAACGTAATTGTGAGCTGAGATTCATGATGGTGGAACCGAGAGGCAAAGGTCAATCAGAGACCTGAAATTGCATTTTGCAGGGGACCAAGCATACAGGTAATGAGCCAGACGGAGGCCAATATCATGAGGCTGTTTCTTATGCCAATGAGAACTGTAATCGATGCTCAAAGGAAGAGAAGCCATTGTTTAAGACTTATAGGCATTTGGAGCCTGAGGCCGGTGCGGTCCAGGAGGTTTAAGAGTGAGTGTCGCAGTAGGAAAGTGGATCAAATGTGGCCTAGTATGTTGTGCTGACGCTATGGGAACCTAAACCACCATTGAACCGATGGGATATGGACCAGAAAAGAGGCCAAACAAGAGAGGGGACATAATTGTGATCTGAGAAGCATGAGAGTGGAGCCGAGAGGCAAAATTCAACCAGGGACCTGAAATTTCAATTTCGGCAGAAGGACAAAGCATGCAGGTAATGTACCAGACTGAGGCAAGTACGTGAGGCAGTTACTTATACAAATGAGAACGTTTGCCGACGGCAGCCGATGCTCGAATGAGAGAGGCCTTGTTTTGAGCCCGATGGGTATTAGGAGCCTGAGAGGCCGGACAAGTCCAGTAGGTTTAATAATGCGTGTCACAGTAGCAAAGATAGTCAAACGGGGGCCAGTAAGTTGCGCTGGCGTTAGAGGTACCTATGTCGTCGCTGAAGCGATGCGACATGGACCAATTGAGAGGCCAATCAAGAGAGGGGGACGATACTTGTGAGCTGAGAAGAATGATAGTGGAGCCGAGATGCAGGATTAATCTAGAACATTATCTTCGATTTAGGTAGAGGGATCAAGCGTACAGATAATGACTCGGACGGAGACGAGAATCATGAGGCCGTTACTTATACCGTTAACAACCTTAATCGATGGCAGCCGATCATCAGAGGAAAAGAGGCCTTGGCTTGAGACCTATAGGCATTTGGAGCCTTAGAGGCCGGAGTAGTCCAATGGGTTTAACGATGAGTGCCATAGTTGCAAAGAGAATCACACGGGAGCTAGTAAGTGGTGTTGACGTTGTAAGCACCTATACCACCATTGAACGGATGCGATATGGACACAGGACCAGCATGATATCACATCAGAACATGTGTAGGTTATAGCACACAGGGCACCCTAGCCCTGAATGTTTGCTTTGAGCATTTAGGTCTTACGCTATCTCTTTGTTCTGTCCCGCTGCTATTCCCTATCCCTTAGACCAGTGTGCTTGTAAGGCTACGATGTATTGGTTCACATTCGTGGTGTTGCTGCTAGTGATACGACCATTGCGAGAGAAAGTTGGTTGGTGTGCCCAGGTTATCCGTGTCATCAGGCTGAACCCTTCTTAGGAAGATGTTAGATGTCCGAAACCAATAGATACATTGGTTGTACGTGTCATCGCCATTCGAATCGGAGTCGCAGTTGTCGGGGCGAAGTTATCGGTTCTTAGAAATATTAGGCCATTATATTGATGCATTAAACGACGATCGTACAACAAACGGGATAGCGCAGAGGCAGCAGGAGATGTTTTACGATTCCAACACAACAGAAGTCCACGTGAATGCGGGGGCGTGGTTACACCATCGTTATTGGAACTGGCAACGCCAGCTAGACATGTTAGCACTGTTAACGGGTTCTGCCAAAAGTGACATCGCTGGCTGAGACTGAGACTGTAAGAGACTGTATTTAAGAGCAAGTAGAAAGGTTTCTGTACAACTCTATCGAATTACGAAAAATCAAAATTTACTTGTGAATTATCAGCAGTTGTGTCTGGTCCGTTAATCGTTTATCCTTGTTCGGTTAGAAATTTGTACTAGTGTCATTATTTCCGGGCATACAATGTCTTCTTTTGGCACTGTATGTGCATCGTTTCACAAAAGCACAGGTTTCCAAAATAATCGTCGATACGGGTTTTAAAACACTTCACAGACTCGACCTCTATTAATCCTTCAGGTAGGGTATTCCATAAGTTTACGATTCTTCGTTCGATACAAAGCTGATGTGATACTTTGTTCATGCTGGGGACCCTGAGTTTGTAACGCTGTCCTCGGGTGTTACAGGGTTCCCGCAGGTGAAATATTGGCCGCAGTATGGGGAAGTGATTCAAGTGTAGTACTCGATGGGTCATAATAAGGTCAATTCTTACTCGGCGATAGGATAGTGTGTAG